AGTATCAATGTGATTATAGTATTAATGACCCTTGAAAATATGCTAAGCAAATGAAACCAGACACAATATGCCACAAACAGATAAATTTTCATTTTATATGAAATGTAAGTAGGCACATCATTATAGAGTTAGCAAGATTAGAGGGTGCCAGAGCTGAGTGGGTGAAAATATGATTGTTAATAGTTAGGGGAGGTTTGAAAATGTTCTGAAATTAGATGGTGGTGATGGGTGGTTGCATACCTTTTCAGTATACTAAAAAATACCTGAACTGTACCCCCTTTTGTTTGTTTTTTGAAACAAGATCTCATTATTACCCCAGCTGGCCTAGAACTTGAAGAAGCTGTCCTCAGTCTCAGAGATCTGCCTGCTTCAGACTCTCCAGTGCTGGGATTAAAGGAGTAGGCCACCATACCCAGCTGAATTATGCACTTTTAAAGTGTACACTTATATTATACACTAAAGCTGTTGGTTTACACATGCAGTATGTATGAAGTAGTGTGTATTCCCATTTTAGTAATCATTATCTTGCTATTCCTAGGATTTCTCTGTGACCATAGCAAATTTGATTTCTCTTATAGCAACAGAATGGTTGAACAGTTTCCAGAAAACATCAGTTTTCCTGCTAAAGAAGAGAAAATCTTGCAGTTCTGGTCCAAATTTAATTGCTTCCAGCAATGCTTAAAGCAATCAAAACGTAGGCCAAAGTAAGTGAATTTCTTTAGTAAAGACAGAGTCCTTACAAGAATTGTCCATTTCTCATAGGATTTCCATCCGTGCCAATACCGCTTAGAGTCTCTCAGTTGTGGACATAATACATATTCAGGAATGAACATTAGTAAGAGAGTTCTTAGTTCTTAGAAGTCATTTGAATAGTTTGTATGCTGCTTTCTTATATTTTTTAATCATCGCTACCCTCACATAGTACTTAGCACTTAAATATAAGCCCCACAGACAGCTACACTGTTTTCTGCCTCTAGTCTTTGTTCATAACTGTCTCCTCATCTCTCTCATAACTAGTTGCCTTTCTGAAGGCAGGGCCTCTAGTAAATTTCTAATCAGTTATGTCTGAATCCCCTGGTCTTGCTGTTTCCTCCCCATCACCAAATGTTTGACTGTGATAACTACTTAACATAAGAATGTCCTAAATTTTTGCTGTTTTAAAATGACTTGATGTATTTTTATTATGTTAGATTTACCTTCTATGACGGGCCTCCCTTTGCAATTGGACTGCCTCACTATGGACATATATTTTCAGGGACAATTAAAGATACAGTTACAAGATACGCTCACCAGAATGGGTTTCATGTTGATAGAAGATTTGGATGTGATTGTCATGGCCTACCTGTGGTACTTTTCAGTCTCCAGGGTATTTTGATGCTTTTTTTGTTTTAAATTATCAACTCCGTGTTCTTTGAATCAACCTCATTATCAGTGCCATCATCACTTTGAGCTGTCTTCAGTATTATATTCCTTCATACATAATATCAAGACTCATACTGAGCAGTGAGTTCTGGGTTACAGAGAGGATTTATTTTTGCACCTGTCTTAATGTCTTTGTCCACCACTTTAAATGTACTAATTGCTTATAAACATGTCAGATACTTCCTTCTTTGTTCCCATATTATTATTTATTACTAATTTTCTGTGTAGTTTTTTTGGGTTTTTTTTTTAAAGCTGTTTTGTTTTCTAAAGTTGCTTAGTTGTATTTGTTTCATAAAGTAAGGTCGTTAACTATCTTACATTGTATTTTCAGAAATATGAAATTGATAAGACACTGGGAATCAACGGGCCAGAGGACGTGGCAAAAATGAGGATTGCGGAATATAACAGTGCCGAGCCATTGTGATGAGATATTCTACTGAGTGGAGGGTATGTTGGGTGTTTTCAGTAGAATGAATAGGAAGTTTACTTTTGGAATGGGAGTTTAAATGGCTTATCATCCCTTGTGCTTTTTATGACATGTTCCCCAAAGCATGGCTGTCCGTGTGAGGTGGTGACATAAGGGGTTGGATTGACACTCCTTTTTATACTGTGACTGCACAAGGAAGGGTCTTTAGCTTCAGCCCCCAACCCTGTTAGCTAAAACTGTGCCCTCTTTTTTTTTTTTCCTGATTCTTTTATGTATTAAGTTGAGGTTTGATAATTATTCTACTTCTAGCCCCACAGTGATAAACATGATGTTCTGAGGGACAGACTTACTTGGATGTTTACTCAATCAGTTTTGATTTCCGGGTCACACAGTCATTCCAGGACTCTCCAGCCTTGATGAGTCAGGGGGCCCCAGAACATCTCAAGAGGCACCTCCCCTGTAACAATTCACTAAGCTGGGAAGCTCTGGAGAAAGGCTGAGTCCTTGAGTAGCAATCTCACAAGGGACTTCAAAAAATGTAATACAGAGCATGAAGCACTGAGGAACGTCACATAGTGTTACAGAGTTTGAAACCACCAGGAAAAGACCAACAGACCCAATTCAAATTTTAATTGTCAAATTTATTAGGGCTATAGCTGTCCATGGGCCCTTAATCAGATTCAGGACCCACAGCCCCTAGGGGAGGGTGAAACTAGCTTATAAAGGCAAAAACCACAAATACCGTAGGAATTTCATCATTACTCATGGTATTACCCATGAGTAATACCAGGTGGTCCTGAGTATGGTCAGGACGCCCAAGTCAGCAGATAAGCAAACTACAGAAGCCAGAACAAGCTTGTGTTAGTCCTTCCCTTAACAAATATATAGAGACCTTGACAGTAAGGCACTTTCTGATTAAGTGCAGCTGCGATGTCTGGGAGGCGACCAAGGTCAGCTACTCCAAAGAAAGCACTCTTCTAAGGGGAAGCAGCTAAGTTCAGATGCTTAACGAAAGGTTTTGAAACTGGCTGTTTTTCTAGCTTTGGAAGTTTAAAGTGGCTGCTTTATACAAAATGAAGTTACTTTGGTTATTACAATTTGGGGGACTCCATTTGGGGCCATTACAATTCATAAAGAATTGAGTCTACTCAGGTGAATTTTTGAGATTGTCTTATGGATTTCATATAGTGCTCAGAATGAAGCATATGAAAAAATAGATGCAAAGCTGGGCATGGTAATCCATGCTTAGATCCTAGCTTGTGAAAGTCTGAGACAGGTAGATTCCTTGTTCAAGGCCAGTCCTAAGGCCAAATACTAAATTCCCTGCTAACCTAGACTGAATAGCAAGGCAGTGTTTCAAAAAGACTTAAAAAGCAAAACAGAAAATGAACAGAATTCCTTCAAGGTCGGTGTTGAGGTGGGTGTTTTAATTCCGAGTACCACAACAACTCATACATTTTGTGCCTTTTCTTAAAAGGCATAAAGCTGTTTTATGTGACTTTCATTTTCTGACAATGGACAATCAAAATCTATAGTTGTGTGTTTCCCCCCTCCAGTCCCCCACTACCATCTGGGAAACACAAGGTCAAGCAGAAGTTGCTCCTTGGTTCTTATCTAAAGGCCTTGTAATAAGGTAATGAGCAACCTCAGGCTTGCCTTTTCACCACGCATTTGTAATCCGCTAGGCACCATTTATATCACAAGTCAGGATAAAGCATCTGCTGACCCTCTACCATCCCTAGTCACTGTTGAGAGGGATCAGTTGATGCTGGCAGCGACCTTTGTCACTTCTCCTGTCCATGGTGTATCTGTTTATCTAGCTTCATTTTTATTTTCACCCTGAAGTTTTCTCCATAGTTTGACTCCTGTAAGGGCCTTCTTCCTCCTTCTGTGTTTCAGCATCACATTTCTATGTACTCTGCCCTCTTCCTGTTCCACCTCAGAAACCTTCAGCCATTTGCCTGGAGGAGCACTTCCCTTCTTCCCTACTTGATGCCACTGACCAGCTTCCTAGTCACATCCCCACACAGGCCCTTTGCTTTCTCATCTCTCTGCCTTTGTAGTAACCTGCTATTAAATATCCTTTGCACAGTTGGAGAGATGGCTCAGAGGCTGAGCACTGGCTGCTATTGTAGAGAACGCAGATTTGGTTCCCAGCACCCACATGGCAGCTAGCAACCATCTGTAACTCTAGTTCCAAGGGATCTGATACCCTTTTATGGCCTCAGCAGGCATTGCGTGCACAAGGTGTACTTACTTACATATCCTCTTCCTTTCAGTCATTGGCTCTGAATTACCCTTGAAGTCTGTTCTAGTTTGCTTCTCCATTGCTATGACAAAACACTCTGACAGTACCAACTTGGAGAGGAAATAGCTTACATCTCCTAGGTCACAGTTCATCACTGAGGGAGCCCAAGGTAGGAACTCAGGGCAGGAACCTGGAGGCAGAAGCTGAAGCACAGGCCATGGAGGAGCGCTGTTTACTGGCTTGATCCCCTGGCCCCTGCTCTACCTGCTTTCTTATATAACACAGGCCCACCTGCCCAGAGGTGTCACCACCTACAGTGGATTAGGCCCCCCCCATCAATCAGTAATCAAGAAGATGCCCCACAGACATAGCCATAGGCCAGTCCAATGGGGGCAATTCACCATTTGAGGCTCCCTCTACCCAGGTATATCAAGTTGACAATTAAAGCTATCCAGCACAATTAAGCCCTTGTCAAGCTGACACACAAACATATCGCTATTAAACCACAACCTTTCCATTTCTTCTTGTCCCCAAGATACAATGTTAACAGTATCACAACATAAGACCTTAAAAATCCCACAGTACTTTTAAAAGGAGATTGTTTGGATTTTTTAAGTCTCTTTAACCATGGGCTGCTGTAAAATCCCAAACAAGTACTGTCTTATTTCAAGGGGAAGAATCGGGTACATATAAGCAAAACCTAAGTTCAGCAAAGTAGATCCAAGGCCAGACATCTGGGATTCATTCACGATCTTCTGGGCTTCAAAGCGTTTTGGCAGCTCCACTTCTCTCACTCTGCCATCCATGCTACATACACCTTGTCTCGAAGACCCAGGCCGGCTCCATTCCACACCTGCTGCCACCCTTGGTAGTCATCCCGTGGTCCTGGCATCTCCAAAAAGCTGGGATCTCTACTGAAACTGAGGCTGCATCTTCACCAATAGGCTCTTCTGGCCTCTCCAGATTCTCTTCAGTCCTGGGGTCTTCACTACAACGGAGGCTGCACTTTCACCAATGGCCTTTCCTGGCCTCTTAGGATGCCAAGCCTCAGCTGCTCTGTGACCCCTTCATGCTTTGAACACCAGAACCATGCAGGAGACTCTTATACATTACCAAGGCTCAGGCTCCCTCTGGACCATAGCTTCTCTACTGACCCTGAGGAAATACTTCCCAGAAGATTTCACCACACTGATGCTGGTCTCTTGTTACTTACAGCTGATTTTTCAGCCCTAGCTAACCAGCATCAATTGTCCCAGTAAAGCAAAGGTTTTGCTTCAGGTTCTGGTCTCTTCTTAATCACAGCTAATTCTTCAGCCCCAGCCAACCAGAACCCACAGATTCTCAATTCAAAATACCACACAAACAGCCCTGATAGTCGCTGCTTCCCTTTGAAGCTTCACAAGCCAGGCCTCCATAGTTCACAACTCTTTGCAGCATAACTTTTCCAAGCTTCACAGCAACAAACTCTAAGCTTGCGATAGCTTTTTCAGCTCAAAGTTCCAAATGCTTCCAAAATCCTCCTAAAAACACCAAGGTCAGGTCTGTCACAGCAATTCCCCACTCTCTGGTACCAGTTTCTGTCCTAGTTTGTCTCAATTGCTGTGACAAAATACTTTTGACAAGTACCAACTTGGGGAAGAAAGAGTTTATTTTATAGGGGGTTAATGAAACGGGCGCAGGAAGCAAGAGAAAGCAGCTCAAGATCCCACAAAGCTTAAGAACTCTCTTAAGACCTCGCAACCTGGGACAAAATGTCCCAGGAACCAATTGGAATCAATGGGGGACATTCTCATTAAAACCATCACAAAGCCTGAGTTCAAATATTGTCTAAAAGAAGCATTCTGTTGGCTCCTTGCCTCCAAAAGTCTGCTCACTTGCATTTTGTCTTGTATGTCATGGAAATGCAAAGAGAATTTTAGGACCTGAATGTCAGTGTTATTTGGGAAAGTACTTTTAACAGAATTGTTTGTGTAGAGAAAATAAACACTTAAGTCTTACAGTGAGTGAATTCATATAGAACTCAAACTTCGTCCTTTTGAGATTTACCTTTTATGACTGAATAACTTGAACCCAGTTGGAAGGAAAAGGAAATACAAAATATATGAGCTGCCAGGCGTGCTGGTGCACACCTTTAATCCCAAGGCAGAGGCAGAGGCAAGCAGAGATCAAGGCCAGCCTGGTCTACATAGTGAGTTCCAGATCAGAGGGAAACCTTTCTTTTTGTAATATGTTGTTATTTTTATGTGTATGTGTGTATTGCCTGCACCTGTGTTGTGCAGTGCCCGCAGAAGAGGTTGTCGGATCCCCTGGAACTAGAGTTATGGACAGTTGTTAGCTGCTATGTGGGTGCTGGGATTTGAACCCAGGTCTTCTACAAGAACAGCTAGTGCTCCCAACCGCTGAGCCATCTCTTCAGCCCCAGGGAGACCTGTCTTCAAAAGATATGAGTGGGCTGAATATATTAGGAAGCCAGGAATTAAAGAATTTGGGGAACATGTTTTGGTTTTGTGTACATATGAATGCATATGAGCACGCTGTGTGCTTGCTGCAAACTTAACCTGAAGCCTCACATGCTAAGAAGCCTCACATGCTAAGAAGGGTGTTTTCTGAGACTGGATCCTAATCTCATCATGGGGCAAGGGCTGACTAATGAAAAAAAAAAACAGTTGTGGGGCTGGAGAGCTGGCTCAGCGGTTTAGAGCACTGACTGCTCTTGCAGAGGACCCAGGTTTGAGTCCCAGCACCCACATGGCAGCTACAAACCATCCTTAACTCCAGTTCCAGGGAATCCGAAGCCCTCTTCTGTCCTCCTTGGCACCGGAGGACACGGGTACACTTACAAACATGCAGGCAATACATTCATACACATAAAAATAAATAATAATGCCGGGTGTGGTGGCGCATGCCTTTAATCCCAGCACTGGGGAGGCAGAGGCAGGCGTATCTCTGTGAGTTCAAGGCCAGCCTGGTCTACATAGTGAGTTCCAGGACAGCTGGGGCTGCAGGGAGAGCCTGTCTCAAAAAGACCAAAAAATAAATAAATAAATAATAATAAATAAAATATTAAAGAAAAAAAATAGTTATACAGCCAAAATGGAGATTTCTTTTGCATGCATGTATCTATCTTTATAAATAAGTGGGCACATTTGTGAGCAGGTGCACCTACCTGTGGAGGCCAGAGGTTGATGTCAGGTATCTTCCTTGTTTATTTTCCACCTTATTGGCTGAGGCAGGGTCTCTTGATGAACCTGAACCTTGCCAGTTTGACTAATCTATCTAGCTAGTGTGCCCCAGAAATCTCCTGTTTCTCCTTTTCAAGCCCTGGGATTATAGGAAGACTGCTGTGGCCACATGTCTTTTATGGGATCCCAACTCTGGTCCTCAGTTGCACAGTAACTGCTTTATCTACTATACCATCTCCCCAATTCCAAAGTTAGATGTTTTCATCCACAGGTCTTCAGATGATTTTGTGTGTGTGTGTGTGTGTGTGTGTGTGTGTGTGTGTGTGTGTGTGTGTGTGTGTGTGTGTGTGTGTGTGTGTGTGTGTGTGTGTGTGTGTGTGTGTGTGTGTGTGTGTGTGTGTGTGTGAGAGAGAGAGAGAGAGAGAGAGAGAGAGAGAGAGAGAGAGAGAGAGAGAACCAGTGAGCCATTATCCAAAAATATTTTTTATATGTACATATATTTGTATATGTATCTATGTATGTACTGAGGAGGTTGGTTTTGAGACAGGGTCTCCCTTGCAGCCCCAGCTGGCCTGGACCCTGCTTTTTGACCAGGCTACCCTCATTCTCACCACCTGTCTCTGCTGGGGTGCAAGGCCTGTGCCAATGCCTAGTGGAAGGGATTTATTGAATCAGCATTTTCTTCCTAATTTGAGTTTTGTGTCTTTTCTATTTCCTAAGAGAGCTTTACATGTTAAACTTTTTTTCCAGGTCTTTCTCCTTGTTGATTGAGTAGTCTTTCTTCTGACACTTTCTGGTCTTTCTTTTCCAGTGTAAAGAGAATGGTGCTTTCACTGTGCTTGTTGACCACTATGTGAAGGATGAAGAAGGCACCGGAGTTGTACACCAGGCCCCTTACTTCGGTGCTGTGAGTAGCATCAAGCAGATGTATTTATGAGAAGTCACTGTCTGTGGCCACTTTTCCTGGGACTCCTGCTGAGTCTCATCAAGCTCCTCACTCTAGCCGAGACCATGGAGTCAGGCCTTTACTGGCTCTTTGACCCTAAAGATGGCACAGGAAACTTGCATCTGCATTCACACTCTTCCTGAGCTATTGTAAACTCTTCAGATCCTAGTTCACCTGTCTGCCTTCCTGGTAGTGTCATTGTTAGGGTTAAATGAGCTAATGTGGTAAAGTGACTCGGCATCCCTCACATGGAGTGCTACTTAGTAATGCTCTTCAGAGCCACTTCTGAAGCCTTGTGGTGTGACCTAGCAAATCTATGATATCTGAGGCCCAGTTTACTTGTGTAATAGGGAATAGTCACCCTTTGGAGCATCCATTGACAGGACTTAAAGCTGTATGTACATCAAACAATGGTATTAAATGCATAGTACTTCTCGACATGCGTGGACTCACATACATGCAGGCAATACACTCATACACATAAAATAATAATAAATAAAATATTTTTAAAAACACATAGTGCTCTCTACCTAGATGGACTTTTGTTTTCTAGATGTGCGTGTATCTTATTTAAAATCTGATTCCGTTTTAAAATCTGTGTTCTCTAATGACTGAGATGACTGGGCTAGACAATCTAATTCCTGTCCATCTGTGAGGCTTAGATCCCATAAACAGGCCTTACGTCATATCCAGCTAGAAGTAGAAGGTGGATTAGGTATGTACAAGGCACTATTGGAAGCATCTCTTAGACTTTCTGTCACCTTGTGCTCCCCACCACCACACGCACACAGACTCCCTTTTTCTCACCCAACTCCTCCTGTCTTTGCCTTTTCTCAGGATGACTTTCGAGTCTGTATGGACTTCAATATTATTCAGAAAGATTCAACCCCTATTTGCCCCGTGGATGCTTCAGGCTGCTTCACAGAAGAAGTGACACATTTTGTTGGGCAGTATGTGAAGGTCTGTAGTCCTGTGAAGTAGAAGTCTCATCATGCTTATTTCTGTTTTTTCCCAGTAAGGAAATTGATACAACTAATTCATCTTCATTATCTACACTTGTGTTAGGGTTAATATGGAAGTTTTAAAATTTTTTGTTTAGGCACTTAAGATTAGCAAAGATAGATACTATGAGCCACATTCAGAGGGTCTGCTATGTTTAGAGAAGGAAGTGTGCTATAATTTCATCTGTAAGAATCAGGAAACCTGCTCTTGTTTGTCATGGAGCAGCCTTGTCATGCTCAGGTCGTCATGTCTCATCGAAAGCTTTACTACCTTAAATGAGTTAAGTGGCTAAAAATGAGCAGAACGGTTTTCTGGTTTTGGGTTTTTAATGTGGTTCTAAGAAAAAGACAAGGGGCTCATGCATGCTAAGTAAGCCCCTTACCACTGACCTACATCCCCAGCCCCCTCCACAGAGATTTTTTTCTTTTTTAATGACACAGTTGTTATTTGTATCTTTCATTTATAATGAAATACCAGAATTTTAATAATTGTATTGTTACTAAGTTTGTTAAGGTATTTTAATGACTAACGTTAAAAATTTTTGACCGGACGCTGATAAAAATATCATCAACGTTGAAGGAACAGGGGTGACTTCTTATTGCCTCCACCTTCACTCACAGTTACCCTTTCTGCTGGAGGTGAGAGGAGACAGAGGCAGAGCTTTGCATTTGTGGGTGTACTGGCTAGCATGCACTCACGTCTTCATATTTAGGGGTCTGGCTCATGTCTGTCCTGTAGAATTGGTGCTTAGTAACCGTCCTCTTAGTTTCAGAAGAGTTGTATCAAGTTTTCGCTTTCCTCAGAAGCTGTGTGAGATTAGGAAAAAAAAAAGAAAAAAAATGGATGTGTAAAAATCTGTTTTCTATCGTGGTCACATATATATTTAATTTTTTAATTTAAATTTTTACTTTTTTTGTGTATATGAGTGTTTTGCCTGAATACAAATGCAGCAATGTGTGCAATACCTGTGGAAGCCAGAAGAGGATGTCATGTTCCCTGAAACTGGTGTTAGGGATGGTTGTTAGCTGCCATGTTGGTGCTGGTAACCAAATATGGGTCCTCTGCAAGAGCAGCCAGTGCTCTTTAACACTGAGCCATCTCTCTAGCCCTGTGGTCATATATTTTTTAAGATGAAAAACGTCTCTGAAATTTTATGGTAGTATTCTTTTTTAATACCAACTTTAAATGTAAGAATATCCTGTAAATATTCAGGTATAAATGTGCTGTTCAGTGTCCTGAAATTCATCCCATTTCCTCCCTGTGCCCATGTTCACATCATAACCTCAGAGAACTGTCATCAGACCTGTTTTCTTTCTAGTCTTTTTCTTTTATCCAGTTTATTGGTTTCATGAAGAGATATGAGACTTAGACATTTACGTTTATTTAAATTTTTTAAAAAATATTTCTGTCTGTGTGTGTGTCTGTCTGAATGTATGCCATGTGTGTGTTGGTGTCTGTTTAGACCAGAAGGGAACATCAGATTCCCTGGAACTAGAGTTGGGTGATTGTTAGCCTCCTGACATAGTTGTTGAGGACTAAACTTGAATCCTCCAGAAGAGCAGCAAGTGTTTTTAACCACTGCGCTATCTCTCCAGTGTCAGCACCCTCCACACACACCAATTTTTTTAACCTTTGTTTCCTTTGGAGGGGGGGGTAGGAGCGGTGTGCACATGTCCACATACATGCCGTGGTGTTCCTGTGGAGGTCAGAGAACTATTGGTGTGAGTCGGTTCTCTCCTGCTACCATGGTGGCTCCAGGGATCAAACTCAGGTCATCAGACTTGGCAGCAAGTGCCTTTACCCCTTGAGCCATTTCTCCAGCCCAAACATTTGCATTAAAATACAAATGAATGTCAGCAGAAGGCTGCGTAGGTGGCACTGATGTTGATGAGAAACTAAAAGTCAGCCTTGCCCTGGGTATGTCTCCTTCTGACCAGTGCCATCTGCATTTTGCTTCCCCAGGTCAGACACTCCCCTTATTTACAAGTCAGTGCCCAGTTGGTTTGTGCGAGTGGAGCACATGGTGGACCAGCTCCTTAAGAACAATGACCTGTGTTACTGGTGAGCATGAAATATGTCTCTTCCTCTACTGTCCTTGTGTGTAGTTGTGTAGTATGTGTAGTCACACTCCCTCTAAATTACTACCCATCTCTTAATGGTTAATTATAGTTAATAACCTGTTCTTTGTGTAAGGAACATAAAATCATATTGAATACCCAAAGTAATATTTTTCTTAAAATAGAAGATGTAAGAAAGCATTTTATCTTTGTAAAATCCAATAGAAGCTGGGCATGGTGGTGCACGCTTTTAATCTCAGCACTTGGAGGCAGAAGCAGGTCGATCTCTTGAGTTCAAGGCCAGCCTGGTCTACGTAGCAAGTGCCAGGCCAGCTGGGGCTACAGGGAGACCTTGTCTCAAAAAGACCCCCCAAAAAACTCAATAGAGATAAATAAATATAATTGGCTTAATTCACATTATGGAATGACTTTGGAAAAAAAATCTTTTTACAGAATTCATTAGCTTTATGTGTATGAATGTATTGCATGCATGTATCTAAGTATACCCGCGTCGTGCAGTGCCCATGGAGAACAGACAAAGGCGTCAGATCCCCTGGAACTGGAGTTAGCCACTATGTGGTTGCTGAGATTTGAACCAGGTCCACTGCAAGAGCAGCCAGTTCTCTTAACTGCTGAGCCATCTCTCCAGCCCCAGAATTTGTTAGCTTTAAATAATCACTTTCAGGATAAACACTGGTTTAGGATGTATTTGCCAAAACTGTTGATAGTTCACCACTTTTGGTGCTCGAATTCCTGGACTAGATGGTGGGTGTCTCTGTCCTTGACTTAACAGAGAAACACAAGCACAGAAACTTGTCTCCCCAGCTGCCATCTGCTTTCAGGTGCCAGCCCACCTGCTGTCCTTTCAACCTGTATGTGACCATGGAATAAGGATCAAGTCTGTAGAGCAGTGCTTTTGACTGAGTGTTTAAACTCTGTACTTCTCACCTGGACCCAGTTAGTCTTAAAAAGTATATTTGATTTTGGAAGAATGAGAACCTCGGGGCAGTAAAATAAATGGTTGTAATCTGTAGCTTTTTAATATTTCTTAGCAGCGTGATCCATGGTTGTCAAAAAGTTTTCTGTTTTCAAAGCTAGTGACCCTTGCTAGTTCCCCAGATGTGCTAGGTACTGGGTGTAGAATATAGTAAGATAGCCTAGGGAGCCTGGAGATACCCAAACTAATCTTTATCATCAATGCCAATGACCCAAGAGAAGAGGAATTTGAGAGCCTAGGGATGTCTTAACCTATGCTTGGGAGGGATTCCTGCAAAGCCGATCCTTGAGAGGTAAGAACAGCTGTCCAATCAGAAGCAGTGGAAGTGTTGGGAATGGGAAGGATCACAGAGAGAAGGGCTGCCTGGCAGAAGGAGGCATGGCAAAGGCTGTTAGGTGAGGGGCTGCGTGCTAAGGACCTTGCCTCATTGCTGAAGCCTAAGGCATGAGGCCAGGGATGACCACAGAGGAACAGCCTGCCAACGCCCCCGGGCCATTGGGAGCCGGTGTTAATGAGGAAGCCACTATTCTGTGGATAATACAAAACTACAGTTGAGTTGGAAGGGGGATGAATGATCAGAGGTCTTCCGTGACCCCAGCCGACCAGGACACAGAAAGCATGTGATAGTCATGGATGGCAGCTCAGGCTGCCACATGTGCTGTCCATTTAGAGGGCGTGCTTGCTCCTAATTGGGAGCTTAGCATTTCCACAAAATGTCACACAAAGGCTTATGTGGATACAATTTATAATTTTCAACTATATATGTTCTTATATGACCATTGATCTAATCTGTTTATAACAGGGTCCCAGAGTTTGTTCGAGAAAAGCGGTTTGGAAATTGGCTGAAAGACGCACATGACTGGGCAATTTCCAGAAATAGATACTGGGGTTCTCCTATCCCACTGTGGGTCAGCGAAGACTTTGAGGAGGTAAGGAAAGGCCGTGTGGCCCTGTATTATATTGACTTTTGCTGAAATATTTTGTTGTGCTGTATGTATACCATGTAAAGAATGTGGAATCATTTCTCCTTTTTTTTTTTCCCTGAGATAGGCTCTTGCTGTGTAGCGCTGGCTGGCCTGGAACTAGCTCTTTAGACCTTCCTACCTCTGTCTCCTGAGTGCTGGGATTAAAGGCCTGCCACCACCACGTTCAGCCTAGAGAATTTTTTTTTAAATATTTTATTTATTATTTTTATTTTATGTGTATGTGTGTATTGCCTGCATATAGGTAACTGCACCCATGTTGTGCAATGTCCGCGGAAGACAGAAGAGGCTGTCAGATCCCCTGGAACTGGAGTTGCAGAAAGTTGTTAGCGGCTATGTGGGTGCTGGGATTCGAATCCAGGTCTTCTGTAAGAACAGTCAGTGTTCTTAACTGCTGAGCCATCTCTCCAGCCCAGAGTTTTTATTTTTACTTAAATGCAGCTCTAAATTTTTTTTTCTGTATGAAGGGAAGAGTACAGTTTATTTTCCTCAGGGAAACCCACAAATTAAATCTTTTTTTCTTATGTTTCTTTGATTTCCCCCACTCCCTGCTACCACATTCTTAATAAAAGTTAAAGTGATCTTACAGGTAATGAAATTAAAAACTTGTAGAAAAATTTTCTAAGCCTTATATACTTTAACGTCCAAAATCATATTTATTATGTATGTGCATGTAGATACATACACATAGGTAGGTATGGTGCGCACGCGCTCTCTGGGCGCACTCCCGGAATGGCACGGCAGGTCCACAGGCTCCCCCGCCGTGCGTCTCCAGGAAGGCAGGTCTGGTCCCACGGGCTTTTCCGTGTCTCTGGGCCTCAGGCATGGTGTGCGCGGGTATCTCGGGGTCCCCACCACACCTGG